GCTTTCCAGCCCGTCAGCCCCCAGCCTGTACTGGTAATGTTGCCTGGACAGGAGAACAGTTTATTTCCTTCTGTCTGGGTGCTCTGTCTTCACACGAGCAGTCTACTGTAAGCACTAGTTACCTCAAGGAGAAAAGAATGCTTAAGGTTGCTGCTGAATTCTGAGTCCTTTCATTAAGGTTTCTACAAGATGCAAGTAGAAATTGTTTTTCTTTTTCATTGCTCCTTACTTTCTTAAAATGTTGTTTTGATTTGATTTATATGCATGAGTCATTTCAGCATGGTAATTGCCATAATTGGTGGTCAGAAGTCCTGCTATTTGAAAGTGGACTTGCTGGGCAGTGCAGATAAACTATTTTTTAAAAGAAGATTGAGGAGAGGGAAAAGAAAAGTGGTGCTGCAGTAGTATTTATCTAGCAACATTCAGAAAAGACCAGTTTTTCTCTTTAAAGAATGTATTTTCAATGCTTTCTTGTATTATTTTATTTAGATTTTTAAATTACTGTCAAAGTTATGGTGAAAATCTAGTCTTTATCATCGAAAACTTGAATGAATCTGATTTGTTTTATTGAAAATCTTTTAGTTACAAAATCAATTTTAATTCTTTCCGAAGCTGCTTGCAAAATACTACTTTAAAAGTTTTGTTTGTTTGTTTTGCTAAATGCTTGTGTGTTTCTGTGTGTATTTTGACTCGCTTAACCAGAAAAGTGTGCACAATCCCTCACAAAAAAAAAACCAGCGCTTTCTGGATAAATTTAATATACTTGTGCTTCAGAGAGGCAAAAACTTTATGAATACTTCGGGACTTAACTGCACGTTCTGTCCTCAAAAGATTATTGTAATTGAAGTACATTCGTGGTTCTTTCTGTGTTTTCTATTTTAGAAGTGAAACAGAGAAAATATTGTTTTTTCCAATAATTAAAATTATTATGTTGTCAATATTTAAGAATACCTTTCTTATTAAGAAACTTTGGACCAATCGAATTGTAATTTTAGTCTTTTAATATACCGTAACACTAGCAACTTCCACTGTTCCAAAATCTTCTAACAAAACGCTTTTTATTGTCTTGATAGAGAAAAACATGAAAGGTAGTATGAAAGCAGGTTATCTGAAGTACAAAGAAGAACCCTCAAAGCTACTATCTGGAAACAAATTTCAAGAACGATATTTTGTATTACAGGAAGGAAACTTGCTTCTTTACAAGGATATGAAGGTACGACAAACTCTTTAGCAGTTTAATCATAAGCACTAAAGTGTTCATTTACATATGAAAATGAGAAGAAAGGTAAACAGGTGAACTGTATTTAATGGAACCTTCAAAGTCTGGGGTTGAAGTACAAACTTTTTATGTTACTAGTTCACAGAGCCGTTAGTAAGATGAAATTATGGATGTTGCTTAGTTAGCTAGTTTAATTATGCACTGTTATAAGCTTTCTAAAAAAATTAAACTAAAGTTTAGAAAAGCCTATAGACTGTGCTGTAACTACGTTTTATGAAAACCCTTTGTATTGAGCTGTAGTAGAAGCAGTATAGAACTCAAGTGAGCTGCGTGCTGGTTTGTCTTCAAATCTCAGAGCCTTTAGAAATTATAAGCAGCCAAGGGTCTTTTACTTAAAAATGTCCTAATGGAGGAGGTTATAGAAAACACTGTCTCTCAATGCACTAGCAAAACCTTCCCTTGCCTCCCAGCTACAAAGTTATCATTAACTTCTCAGTAATGAAGAGGTAATATAAATTTCTCTTGGAGTAAAACTTCAGAAAAGAGAGATGATTTAATCTCAGTCTTGCAGATACTAATACTGGTGCTTAGCTGTGCATCAGAAACCCACAGAAGCAAGGTCAGGCATACTTGATTGCATGTTGGATTGAGTTCTTTCCCAGGAGTTTTCTGTGAAGAATATTTTCAGATATATGCAATTTATGTTAAAGGGTAAAACTAAATAACATATTGTTAACTGTGCTATTCATTTTAGTTTTACTAATTTCTGGTAAACAGTACCTCTTAAAGTTTGAAATGCTTTTATTTTTACTGGATACTGGTTTTGCCCATCCAGAAAAATATGTATAGTTTACTGACCTTCCTAAAGTACTCAGGAGAATACACACACACAGACGTTCTGTCTATGTATTTTATATATAATGTATAGTTAATATATATTATATTCATATATTTTATATTGGTATATAATATCATATATTAATATATATTATAATCTTATGTTTGTGTGTATATATATATTTTTTTTAAGACCAAAGCTTACGGATTAATTGCTAATGTAAGCTAATGCAAAAGAAATGTTATGTCTTCTTGTAAGATTGTGGATATACTTTTAATTAGAATGACCCTAGAACATCCAAAATAGTGTCTTGTAATTTAGTGCTAAAACTCAAATTGTCACATATGTGAGGGTAAATTAATATTCTCATAAAACCTTAATTAGGATCTAGGTAAGAGTTACGATAGGATTATTGTACTATGTTAAAATTACTTTTTCAGCCATTCTGATTCATAAAGCATTAAATGGTTCCTGAACCCAGGTGGAGTTTTTAAATGGCTTTACACCTTTTTTTTTTAAATAAGCAAATGGAAATATCATTCTGACAAAATAGTGTATTTCAGTTTGTTTTATTTTCTTTTGAGAGATCTTTACCACCAATCATTTTTATTCAATTTTACGTCATATTTAGAAATGAATAGTAGAGGGAGTTGGTATTGCAGACGGAATATTACATTTAATAAGACTGCATGTATTAATTTATGAATTCTCATAACATTAAGTTTGCATATGCAAGAGGAGATAAATTCTATTAAGTGTTTTCTTTTCTTCAACAGCAATTATCAAAAAGTAAACAGTTTCCATGGTATTGTATATTAAATTATAGCATTGTGTTAATTGGCTGAAAAAGCTTGCTAATGTAATGTACAGTCATTAAAAGATAGGCTCTCACACACAAGCAAATGAGGAAGTTCCTTTAGGTGTAATTCTGTGAGAAGTATACTGTTGTTCAACTAAATAGTACCTTTTGTAGAGGCATCTGTTCAGCTTGGTGGTACTTTTGCTTTGAGTCAGAGGGTGGACTAGAAGACCAACCATAATTTTTTTTTCTTAATGATAATAGCACCTCAGATTCTGGGCAGTGTATGTCTTTTCCCCGATATTTGCATGTTTTTAGAATGAATATTACAGAGACAGAAATTGAGAATCCAGGTGAGTGAACACTATAGAGCAACTATATACTGGGATTATAAGATTTGTTAAGTGAAACACTTGGCCTAAAAGTACTAAATGAATAGTATTGTATTCTGCTACCTGTTTTAGATTCATGCGTATAAGAATTTTTTTGTTTCTTTTCAGTATTTCAGCCTCAAGACACATTCACTTCACACACTAATGTGTGTTTATATCTGTTGTAGGTTGGTTGAATGTATTTGATTGTCTAAGAATCACGGGAGTATTCAGATTGGAAAGGGCCTTAGGAGGTCTTGAGTCCAAACTCCTGCTCAAACCAAGGCCAGCTTGACATCAGGTTATTCAGGGCTTGATCCTATCAGGTTTTGAAAACCACAAAGGATGAGGACTTGACATCTTGGCAGGCTCTTCCAGTACTTGACTGGAAAAAGTTTCTTTTTACATCCAGTCTGAATCTCCCTAGTTTCCATTAATGCACATTATCTGTCGTTCTCCTGCCATGTACCATGTGAGGAGCCTGACTCTGTCTTCTTGGTTACCACCTCAAAGGTACTGGGTGGGGCTGCTGTTAGGTCCCCCGAAGCTGTCTCTTCTCCAAGCTGAACAAGCACAGCTCCCTCAGTCTCTCCTGACAGGTCAAGTGTTTCAGCTCTGATCAGCTTGGTCAGCCTCCAGTGAACTCACTCCAATTTGTGCATGTCTTTCCTCTGTTGAAAGGGACAAAAATGGACATGGGTAGAGACAGATACAGTCTCACAAGTGCTGAGGAGAGGGGAATAATCTCTCTTTTTGACCTACTGGCTGTGGTCCTGTTAGTACAGCCCAGGTTGCTCTTGGCCTTGTTTGCTACCAGGACACTGCTGCCTTATGCTCAGCTTGCTGCAGCAACACCCCAGATCCTCCTCAGCAGAGATGCTCCTCAGCCAGCCAGGCGCCAGGGGGGCCCAGGGAGATGTAGGAAATAGGAGATTTCTTCCTTCCCAGAAGACCTGGCATTTGTCCTTGTTGAATTTCATGATGTTCCCATTGGCCTATTCCTTTAGCCTATCTGGGTCCCTCTAGAAGGTCCCCTGCCCTGAAATGCATTGAGTGGTCCTCTAGGTTAGTGTTGCAGACTTGATGATCAAGCATTCCATGGAGTCCTACAGGTCATTGATAAAGATATTAAACAGGATAGGTCCCAGAACAGACCCCTGTGGTATTCCACTTGTCACAGGCTTGCAGACAGAGTATGTCTGATTTAACTCCCACCCTGTGAGCCTGATTATGCAACCAGTTTTTTACCCATATAAGTATCCACCCATCTAAACCATAACATCATAACTTGGATACAGGAATATTGTGGGAGAGCATGGCAGAAGCCTTGCTAAAGTTGAGGTAAAATACATCCTTTCTCCCCTCATCCATGAATCCAGTCATTTTATCATAGAAGTCAATCAGGTTGGTCAAGCAGGATTTACTGTTGGTAAATCCATGCCATCTCTTCTCAGTCACCTCCTTCTCTTTGATGTGCCCAGAAATGTGTTCCAAGAAGACACGCTGCATGATTTTCCCATGGACCAAAATGAGGCTGAGTGGCAGGTGGTTCCCCAAATTGTTCTTTTGGCCTTTTTTTGAAAATGGCTGCAATGTTTTGCCTTTCTGCAGTCATCAGCAGCATCCCCCAATCTCTATGGTGTTTCAAGGATGAGAGATAGCAGCCATGCAAGGACGTCAGCCAACTCTTTCAGCACCTTTAGATGCAGCCCATTTCATCCCGTGGACTTGGATGGCTCAAATTCTCTCAAGTAATCTCTGATTTGATCCTCATCTACTGTACTGGTTATTCTTCTCGGATCCTATCTGTAAGCACAGAGGCCCAGGAGACCTTGCTGATGTGAAAACTGATGCAAAGACCTCAGTCTCACCTGTGCATGCTGTTCCTCATCTAGCTGCCCCAGTCATCATTGGGCCTGCATTTTCCTTGTTCAGCCTTTTACTTCTAATCTAGCGGTAGAAGCTGTTCTTGTTGCCCGTGACCTCCCTAGCAGGTCTCAACTCCAGCTGAGCTTTGCCTTTCCTAACAGCATATCTACATGTCCAAGCAGTGTTTATAAACTTCCTCCTCTGTACCCTCTCCCTGCTTCCACCTCCTGTATGCTGGCTGTTTTTGCATCTGGGCTCTGCCATAAATTACTTATTTAGCCAGGTCTCCTGATATGTCTGCTTCTTTCCCTGAATGTCGTGGAGAACCATTCTTGCACTTGAAGGAATGCTGTACTTAAAGACCTGCCAGCTTTCCTGAGCTGCTTTGCCCTTCAGAACTGCCTCCTCCCAGGGGGATCCTATGTGCCAGTTCCCTGAGTAACCCCAAATGTGCTCTCCCAAAGTCCGGGGTCTGTCCTCTGCTACTTGTCTTGCACACTCTCCTCAGCACCTCAAACTCCATGTTTCATGGTCTTGATGGCCAAAGCTACCATTGATTTTCACAGCTCCAAACAGTTCTTCCTGGCTTGTGACTAGCAGATCCAGCTGTGCATCGCCCCCGTCTAGCCCATCCAGTGCCTGTGCAAGAAGTTATCCCTGACACCCTCCAGGAATCTGCTGGATTGCTTGCGTCCCACCGTGCTGCCTTTCCAGAAGATGTCAGGGAAAGCAAAGCCCCCCCGGAGAACTAGGGCCTGTGATCCAGAGACTTCCTTAAGCTCCTCAAAGCAAACTTCATTTGCTTCTTCATCCTGATCGGGTGGTCTGAAACAAACACCCACCGTGATATTGTCATAGAAGATCTCACCACGCATGGTCTGCTCACCCTTTGCCATTCTTTACATAGAGGGCACCCCCTATCTTCTCTGACTGCCTCTCCTGAAGAGCTTGTATCATCCATTGCAACACTCTAGTCATGTGAGCTTTGCCACCATATCTCTGTTATTCTGACTATATCATACTTTTTTGACCTCACAGGGGGTTCACGTTCTTCCTGATTTTTCCCACTGATAGTGATTGGCTCCCTTTGTTAGTGGGGAAAAAAAGATGTAAAAATGTAATAGCCAACAAGAAAAGTGGGGTACAGCCCAACTGTGGAGACGGTTACAGGGCATTTCCTCTTTTGTATATTCCTGATACAGCCTGATACAGTAATTAGAATCTTATTTTATTTTCAGGCTAGCAAACCCGAGAAGGTGTTGCCTGTCAATTCCTTGAAGCTGTATCTTGGAGTGAAAAAGAAAATGAAGCCTCCAACAAAGTAAGAATAGAAAAGAAAAGAAGTTAAATGCTATGTAGCGAAGTACTGAAGTATCTTCGTGAAAGAGGAACATAAAATATTGTGGTACAGAGGAAAGTCAAGAAGCCAATTGGAGTACACTGAATTAAATTACCCTCCATACTATTATTTGTTCTATTGCTGTCTCTTGTTTTGTGTTCCACATTAACTCTTCTGTGCTAGGGAATTACTTTATTGATTGGCTTTTCTTAATCTTAAGTGTATTATCTCTTGTGGATGTGTTTGTTGCTAGCTCACTTAGTTTTGTGGTGTGTGTCCTGCATTTCATTGATGGACACACCTTCCTTGCACCAAGAAAAAAAAGAGAAAAAGAAGAGAAAACCGATTGATTTATCTTTGGTGTCAGTCCCTGCTGTTCAGTAGAGGATTTTCCTTTTTTAGGATCCTTATTGTTTTGACGTTTTTCCTTCTAAACAAAGGCTACAGTGCCCTTTACAAACATCAATGACTATGTCTCTGGAAAAGAGAGTGAGAAATGACACCTCTTTTTCTCAGATGTATTTCCAGTACTTATTCAGTCAAAGCTTTGAGACACTGAGATAATGTAGGTAGGATCCTATCCCAGGCGGGTTCTAAGTTGGTTGTAGCCTTTGAGCAGATCTACTTGTACTTTTCCCTTATAGTTGACATATCAAAACCCTCAAAAAGTCTGTAAATTTCAGAGCTTAGTTCTGCTAGACAAAAAGCAGTGATTTTTTTTGTTTCTTTTTGAGAAATTGGGAATAAGTAGGTGAGTAGTTTAAGGTAGAAATGTAACAATTCTGGATCTTTGCAGGTATGTTCATTCCTTGAGGTTTGCTGTCAGTCTAACTATTTTCAGTATCAGACTTCACACAGTTTCCTCTGGATCCTAGGAGCCATCTGTATATCTATCACCTCAGAGGCTTCGTTGTGCAGCTACTCCCTGTTTAAAATTTTTTTTTTTTTTTAAATCTCTGCAGACTTGCATGATTCCTTCTGTTTCCAGCACAAGCATGCTCATGCTCCTTCTGTGCCTTTCCCACCATGTGCTCCCACCAAGCTTCCTTATATGCATGTTTTTTCCCTGGACATCAGCTTAGCAATTTTACTTTGTACATCTTTGACAAAGTACAGCTGTAGCCAAAACAACACACATAGTCAGCCTTCATCTGTAGGACTTGGCTTTACCCCTTGTTCAGAACAGAACATGCATGAACTGAGTCACCTATGAACAAATGAGCAACATCTACCATCAAACCCACAGTTTCATTTTGCAATAACTTCCTAGATTTGCAGTACTCATTTAAACTTTATATTACTTTTATTTAAAAGCATTATGTAGAGGTCTGTGTAGTTTTAGGAAAATATGATCTCTGTCTTGAGTTTCTGGAACGAATTTTTGAAAAAAATTTTTTTTTGTTTCAGCTGGGGTCTTGCAATATTTTCTGAAAAGCACCAGTGGTAGGTAAACATGAAACATGTATGAATGGTTTAATTTCAGTGTTCAATGTTTATTTGAATGCTCAATTTCAGCATTTTCAAAAGAGAATGTTTGAAAACTAATTTTTTTAATTTTGTCTGCATGTTTGCTTTTTTCTATGTTTTTCTTAATTAACTAAACGATTATAGATATGTTTTGGTAACCTTTTGGGGTTAGGTGTCTGTCCCCTTGCTGTGGCCATAAATCAGCAAACAGTCTTAAAATCTATAATTCTAAATTTATGAAACCTGTGCACGTGCTTTAAGCTAACCAGTTGCCTGCCTGCCCTTTTTGGACTGGGTTAAAGTGGTGATCTGAGGTATTTATGTATTTCACTGTCTTTTTGTGTAAGCTAGCTTTAATAATAAATACATACAACATTCCCAGGTGAATGTAAGCAGTATTTGAACTCATTTAGAAACCTGTTCCGTAATATGTCTAACTGCAGCTAGATTTTTTAAATATTTTTCTTGTTAATTATATATTGTGTTCTAGGCATATATGTTGTGATGGACAAGATGCACAGATGGAGTGGCTGATCAGTATTTTTACTGCACAGGTACTAATCTGGTCTAACATAAGAAATACAACTTTTCCTGCTGGTATGAAAATCCCATTAAACGATCGTATGTATGTATGTGTTATATGTGCGTTATGGATAATACTGCAATATCATTAAGGTTTTTGGAATACTTGATGTAATAAAACCACAAAAAGATGCTTATGAAGGCTGTTGTTCATAATAATATTTCCACGTGAATGTGGGAGAATGTGGGAGAAGAGCGTTACGTTCTGAGATCTTTTTTCTGTTGTGTTGTAGAGAAGCTGGAAAAAGAAATACAGCTCACTTCCTTAGCAGCAGTAGACCGCTTTGGGGTGACATTCTTGCCGTTGGCCCAAAGGGTACGTCAGTGTGCCACAATGCCTTGCATGCTCTTGAGTGTTAGCTAATTTGGATACTGCATGCAAAATGGGCGTGATAGCAGGGTGCTCTGTTTAAGCACACTGTGGAGTGAACTAGCTCTGGAAGTGCTGTGCCAGCACAGCTATATTTTTCTGGTATTCAGGTTAGTTTAGCTAACGCTGACAACTCCTTGTGCTGGATAGACACTATCTTAAGCAATCTTCTGCTTGTTACATCCGCCTTATTCACAACCTAGTAAATTTGAGTGATAGCCATGTAACACATCTTTGCAAATGGAGTGTAACGTTTGCATGACAGGATGTAGGAGTGAGAGAGATGGGAAGAATTCACTCTGGCGAGAGACTGGAACGAAGCTTAAGTTTTTAAAAGGATTCTGTGTTTATGTCAAATTTTTCTTGTCTTTCCCGTAACGTTCAAGGAACTTTAGGGAATATTGCTGTGAATACACATCACTAGATTTATGATTACGTCTGAACTTTGCATATTACATAAAGTGGACCAGACTCAAGACTGTTGCACTACATACTTTGCAGAGGCTTTCTAAAAGAGAATCTGTCTTTCTGTCCTTTGTCAATAGTAGGACTAGAAGTACAGTGTATGCCTTATAAGTAAGACTTCCAAAATTGTGTCTTATTCTGCTCCCTTATCTGAAAGAGCTTTTGTTGTTTCTATGGAAACAGCTGCTGGTCCTGGCATACATCTCATGGGCATAACATGAGCAGTGTCACAACAAATTGGCTCCGAGGTTATTGATATAGGCTATTTGGAAATAACTCATACAAGCTTAGTAACTCTGTTGAAATCCTTTTGACATAAAATCACAAGAAAGGCGATCTATTAGGATTCTGATCAAGTAGTGTGGTATGTAGAATGTTCCTCTGATAATATAGATCAGAAACTGAGAGACACTGCTCACTGTTCAGGAGATTTTTGTAACAAAAAAAAAAGTCTTTTAATGTGCTTTTTTTTTTTTTTTTAACTTTGCAGTGATTTAATACTCTTTTCTTTGAAAACTTCATTCTCATGAGGCCGATGAATCAACAGTACTAACAGACTGTATTGAAAGGGTGGCTTTTTTGGTTATCAGTATTCTGGACATCAGCAGAAGTTGTCAATCTGTGAATTACTTGTGAGATTAAGTGCTGATGAAGCAAAATTGGTGTATTGCTCTATGACAATATTATTTGCAATGAAAATCTGTCCTTGAGAACACAATGACTCATGTTATTAAGGCTTGCTGTAAAATCTCCAAATATTTTGTTTCACGCAGTGGCTGGCAATTATTATTGAATTATCCCCATTCAAAACCAGAAAAAAATAAATATCAGCTGAGGTTGCTTCTAATTAGAATTTTAGAATTGCGGCTGTCTTTAGGGAAGATAGCTTGTCTTCTGTCTTATTTGTTATCATAGTATTTGAACACCTTTATGTTAGAGAGACTATAGGCAGCATATTTTGTTTATGTTGATGGAGTTGCTGGACTTAGATTGCAAAGAGAAAAATACTACAAAGTAAGTTCTGAAGTGTAAAGATATTTACGTTAAACGATCCAGTGCAATTAGGAGGGAGAGAAATCTATGTTACTGTGCTCTTCAGTGCTCCAGCAGAGTAAAATTTTATTAATAAATAAAATCAGTAAGATACTACTGCTATTATTTTCTTTTTTCCTCATTTTCTGATAATGTTTACTCTCATAGTGTATATACTGCAGAGAGTATAAATAGCAAAGCTTAGGTACTGTTGTAATCTAGCACTTTTGATGAACAAAATTGAGTTACCCTAGAGGTTATTCACTTTCTAATTTAAATACTAAGATGGTTCTAAGAAGAGCTATTGTTTATTCCACTTGTATGCAAAATCGTTCTACAGAGTATGGCTAAAACCCGATTTTTCTGTTCTATAATGCAATTCTGCACAAAAATCACAGAATAGTGTACAGCTGGAAGTAATTAATTGATATGAAGATGGACACAGTTATATATGGTCTCTTCCAATTCCAGTGCCTCTGATCAGCTAAAGAGAGGCACAGCATATTACCATGAGGTGCAGTTGTGCAGATAGGTCAAAACTATGAATAAATACATTTATTATATGGCCTAACATGTTGCTGGTATTTCTGATGTACTTTTCCAGAGTTCCAGAGTTTTAAGAAATGTTAAGCACAAAAGGGGGAAATCAGGCTACTTAACTGACAGGGATAATTTCCCAAAGCTTGCTGAAAATTCATGGAGGCAGATTCCTTCAGGGCCTAACTTTCTGGTCCTCAATCACTGTCTGAATCACATTTGTTTACAATAGAAAAGCCTAGCTTTGCATACGGGGCACCTGTTCCCTTCATCAAAAATAGCAAAGTAGTATCTTCTGCCATTGGTTCTGTTATGCAGTATTTGGATATAAAAAGATGTTATATTCTTATCTGAAAGTTTCAAAGTGTGTGGAAGATGTCCTGAGTCCTTTAAGCACGCTAAACTGTTGGTAGAGTAGGTAAAGTAGAGAAAAGTAGTAAAAGAGGCATGGCTAAATCCATTCCAATGCTTTGAAAACCTCAGCTGTATTTGTTATAACTAGCTTGTGGTTTTTTTTCCAAAGGGGTGTCACTGTGTATTTCACTACTTCTGTGCAGAACTCATGTGCTAACTCTGTAAGTAATATGATATCTTGGTCCACAATAAATTGATTTTGGCTGGCAAGAGCCCCTCCCTCAGATAAGATATTCCTGATGTTTCACTGGGGAGCAAAATGAACGTTTTTAAGATTCAGTGGGGAGAAATCAACTTGTACAACACCCTGATCAGCACTATGTGTGGGAATTTTTTACCCCATGAAGATGTGAATCTATGAAATACTTTTTCTACTATGAAATTGAGGCTTCCAGTTTCTAGAATGCTATTCGAAGTCAATAATGACAGACTCACACTCGTTCTAGAGGCTTTCTAATAGCACTGTTTTAACAGGTAGACAATCTACAAGCGTAATCACAGCTCCACAACTGGATTTTCTTTACAGTCTTGAAGAGATAACATCTGAATTCATGGATGTGGAGGGTTGAATAGCAGGAAAAAAAAAAATTGGAAAAAAGGAACACTGAAGACCTTGACACCTATGAAAAGAAATCTATTAGAGAGTTGCACCGTTTCTCCTTAGAAAGATCAGATAATTTCATATTTCTTAAAAGAATGCAAAGCAGTAGTATTTTGTTAATACTAACCCAAGTTGTTCTCAGTTTTCATTAGGGTTCCTTTGCAGCAGTTCTAGCCAATTTCCTCTAGAGTTGTGCTGGTTTATCTCTGTGAACTCATATCCAAGCTTTAGAAACTGTTCTTACATAGACCTCATACATCCTCTTTGACTCATCAAATCTCATGTTGGAACTTTTTCAGAAAAATCTCTTTTATTACCTTGTCCTCAGAACTGTCTTTCTGGTTATCATTTGCTTCACCACAGGAATTTGGGAGCTTGAAGCATGTATGCTCAAATCTCTGTGTGTGAAATTCTGTCTGGTCTGCTGGTGAAAGTTCATTCTAGGTCCTTCCCAGAGAGAGGTTTTAGTATTTTATTTAAAACATTCAGTTACTGATTTTTCTTCCCTCTTCTACTTAGCCGCATTTTCACTCAAGTTGAAGTTGCACGCTCTGGCGTTCTCCCCATACCAGACCTGTTTTGATAGAGCCAAAGCAAAGATTTATTGTAGCTTGATTTGTTGGTTTGCAGGTTGTATTTGTTGGGCATTCAGGTCATTCCATTCTGGATAATACATGTTATTATTTTAGGATAAGCAATCATTTTCTCCAGAATCGTGGGTATAAGTGTTGAAGTACTTATTTGCAAATTGGATTAGTTGTTACTTCATTTCAGAAACTTTTACTGGGTCTCCTGAAAGCGTACTTACCTAGAATTTAGAAACTGCAAATCAAATGGATGCATTTTACTTGTTTGATGACATTTTATATTCCTAGTAGATAATTATTTTGTTAGATAGTATGGAGGGAAAGTATTTGATGCATGAATTGTACAGAGTCCTTTCAGTTCTCTTCACTTGTTATTGTGCTTCACTTACGAAATCTTAACATAATTTTCCTAGTAGTCTTCCTCTCTTCTCTCATAAGAGACTGACAAAGTGTGGTATGGTAGACAGCTTTACCAAGATGGTTAGTTTTATATACAAAATAATTGTTTATCTTCATGAAATTACATGCCAAAAATGATGATTTTTTTTTCCTTTTTCAGTATGCAGATATATGGCCACCTGCTGGAAAAGCAAGAAAACAGTCTATAACTAAAAGTCCAAAGATCGGAGGTTTACCGCTAATTCCCATTCAACAGGGGAAGAACACTTCTAAAATTGGAAGGAGTACAGAGGTAAATGGAGTTTAAACTCCATTTAAGACAGTGCGGTACTTTGAAATGGTCCAGGAATAACAAACTCTCTAGAGGTGGATAAATCTAAAACGTTGATGATTTTATTGTTAATGCCACTTACAATTCCCTTGTTTTTCCATTAAATAGTTAGGACAATTTAATTTGAAAAGCATTGTGACCTAGTCTTATGTCAGCTTCTTGACTGGTCAATAAAATAGTAATGGATTTTTTTTTTTTTTTTTTGGAGCAAAAGTTGCTCATTAGAAGTAAATAGGACTGAACCTGAAAGTATATTGCACATTACTGCGGTTTTATTTTAATAAAGACCTTGAATAATGTGCTGCATGTTTATTCCACAATATCTTTTCTTCTTGCCAGAATAACCATGCAGTTTTAGTTATTATACCCTGTAAACGTAACGGGAAAGCTCAGATGGAGCTAACTGCTGTGCTTTTAAGTTGCAGTGTTATTAGTCCCAAGGAAGAGCAGAGTTGGGATTTAGTTACCACTCCTTGCAAAATGTCTGAGAGTGACTTGAGCGTCACTATAATACTTGGGCTAATGATACCTCTCAATTTTAGCATCTTAACTTAAGATGAATTCCTGGCACTAACAAAGAGATATAGATGCCAGTGGTGAGGAGTTATTTGCCTCACTTCCAGCTGAGAAAAAATAGTGGTCGTTAAAACAGTAGTCTGTTTGGGGAAAAATAGTGATAACTAATCTGATGGCAACAGAGAATGAACGTTGAAAGAAACGGCTTGGACCTTTGACTGTATACCGTATTATTTGTTGCATGTTTCAGTAGCTTTGAAAGGGATGTAGATAACAGGATATATTATCACCATTTACAGAGACAGCGCTTGAGGCACAGATGGGTGAAGCTGACTCAATCCTGTAGCAAACCAAAAACAAAGCTAGTGGTAGTGCTCTATCTACAAGACAATGCAGATATGTCTTTGTGTTTCTGTGTCTTTGTTACGCTTTCTTCAGGCATTTCTGCTCTTCCTTACTAAAGCAATATGATATACTGTGAATGTAATTAAGGTTTTCCTTTTTTGTTTAATTTGTCCTGTCTTTTTTAAGTTTTTCTCAAAAAGTGCTTTTAAAACTCTAAGTTTCTTCTAATGTTTGCATTTTTAAACATTTTTTTAGTGAAAGGAAATCATAGGGTGTGTCAACTGAAAAAATTTCATCATCCAAGTATGGTTTTTACGTGCCCTTTATGCTTGATTCTGGAGGTACAATTGAGATCTATTGTGTGTTTTTTGGGAGGAGTACAAATTCAGAGCTTCTTCGATAAAGATTTTACTGGACTTGGAGCTTCATAATTTAAAATCCTTAATTTCTTTAAGTACTAGCAAGGTTTTCTGATTTTTGTTGATGATGATGATGTGCTCTGTTATTAAGGACTCTGAAATTTTGCACGCTGCAACTCAGAGATAGTCTGCATTTAATCTTGAAAGTAGAAAGTCTGTCTTCACTATTTATGCCATGACTAGATCTTGACAAAACTTGTGCGAAGGATATTTGCATACTTTAGAAGTTTTGAGACCGAACTATATAATGGAAAACATAAATTAACACTTATTTACCTGGAAAGTCAGAATTGGGATGAATAATAAAAGACTAGTAGGAAGTAAGTATGCAATATAGCTCAGTCAGGGGAAACGTTACGCAGCAGTGTAACCAATAGAGGAGTTCAGTATCTGTGCTAAAAAAGTGATTTTCTTTTTCTTTTTGTATTGACATTTATGGGAAGTGGTTTTATTGTCTGCTAACAAAACAAACGTAATAAAGTTTTAAATCATTTCTATAATTAAGAAACCTCCTAAAAACAAATAGAATGAACATATTTCCATAATTTCTGCACCATTCATTACATACATGAAAAGTACTTTTAAAATATATGTATTTCCCATATAGACTCTTTTATCTAAAATAAAAATACGCTGCTGTATATTTGCACTATGACTTTACAATTTTGTGAATACAGGAAGATTGAGGTACGAGGAAGAAGCCTTTCTTTAAAGCCACGATCAAATACAATACTGAATTATAACAGGTTATATCCGTGCAGCATGTTGAAAGGAACAGGATGTCTTAGGAATAGTGAAGGATGTAAATAGATTTGCTCTATATTTTTGCTAGTGATGTGTAGAAGAAGGAAAAAACGTAGTTAGATATACACATTATTATCAGTTTTTGTACCCATTATTTGCTTAAGGGACTGAAGAGGCAAAACATGAAATTGTTTCATGTTTCTCTTAACATGAAATTGTTGCTTTTTGTGTTAGGGATTGTTGGAAGAAAAGTAGGGAGTCCAGCAGTATGATTTATAGGGTATTTATATATAAAAGAGTGGGCAGGGGATCACATATTACTAAGAAATAATATTATTAGGAAATGGATATGGCAGGTTTTTTTCACACATCCTCTCAACATGCTATTCGTAAGCAAAGGTACTATTGTAACTGTTCTACTAGATTCTACTTAGTTCAATTTGAACAGGATTTGACTCCATCAGTTGAATGTTTTCTCAGTGTATATACTGAATGTACTCTAAAGTTTCCAAATGTTCAGTAGGAGTCTGTGTTAAGGGAATACATGCCTATACACTAGACTATTTCGGAAATAGTCTAGTATTGAATTTGAATTTCAGCGTTGTATGTGGTCTGTTACTATTTTCATTTAAAAGAAACTTTCCTGGGAAACACCCAAGGGGAAAAGAAGGGCTCTTGCTATACGCTGTTTAGCAGGAGAACTATATTGATTTCAGAAGTGTAGTCAGAATTCTTCTTCTCAGAGGATGCAAAATTGAAATGTGATGTACAAAATGCTGTAAATAAAGTTTATTGCTGCAGATTGAACATAAAGATTATCTTGGTTTGCTGAGTTATCCTGAATAGCTTAGAGTGTGTTACTGCATTTTTAAAAGGAATAAATAGCAAATGTTCTTGTTAATGTGCTATATTAATGAATTTAAATTTCTTATGTTGCGTGTGTATTAGATAGGTAGTAACTATTATTTTTCATTAATTGAGCATGAATCACTGATCAGTGGTGATTTCTTGCTTGTCGTCTTCATGCAAGTTTGAAGGAATTATTTGAAGTGGAAAATGATACCTTCTCCAAAGATTAGGCGGAACAGAACTCCCCCAACTCAAAAATCATTGGGACAGTTCCTAAGTTAAAACTGATGTGATTTACATGGTCCGAATACTTGTGTTTCTTTTATTATCAAACAAATCCTAGTTTAGGTGAAATGTCAAGATACGGTATAAGCTTAGACTTTGCTGTATAGCTTAGATCTCTTTGATGGAAACTCATCTGATACTTAATTGCTATGTAGGAAGGAAAATGATTTGCTGCATCAACATTTACTTTTGCACTAGGCTTACATTTGTTGACCTCATGAAGAAATCAGTGTCACTTTAAAAAAATTAAAAAGCAAACAAAAATGGTAGAGGAATTATTGTGTTATGTCTGCTGAGATTGTGTGACAGTGGGCAGGTCATTCCATTTGTGCAAGAGCCCTGTAATTCTAGAGGAAAATCTGGTTTTTGAATTTTTTCTTTTATATACAACATCCTTGTTTATATATAACATCTTTGTTATATATTGTTACTACTGGAAAGCCCTCAAAGCTGAGGAGGACTTGGGTTTGTTCTTTCGCATTCTTATGTGGCACTTGTTCAGTTGGCTGGAGTTTTTCACCCATAGTATATGCAAATCCTTTCATGTAATCTTGATACCTCATACATGCTAAAGCAAATGTGAAATATATTCAAACCCTCTTTTAGAAAGAGAGGAACTAGCTCAGATATCTATGTGAAATTTCCTCTGGACCAGGATTACGCTTTAGAAGCAATTCTTCCAGTAGCTGCCATCACCTCGTAATACAAAGAAGTTATCTTGGAGCATATGAACTTGGATTTCTTTCAGATGAAACTGAACTGGAAGTTGTTCTCCAGGAGTATATCTAATGCACACAAATAAGCATTGAGTCTATGGGAGAAGGCTAAAGTTAATCTAAAGTGTATTTGAAAAAAAAAAAAAAACTGAAATGGGAATAGTGCAGATGTCAGGTCCTCAGTACTCTTTCACTATGTGGATGTGCTTCTAATGGGCCACACTAGTTGCTAATTTAGAGTAGCAATTGATTTACCTTTCATTTCATACACCCTAAGAATTTGAAAATAAACACCAATATGAAACAGTTGTATTGCCATCAGCTTGTTGTTTTAGCTGAGTTCTCAGTATGTTACTTTAAATTGGTAGGCATAGTTTGAAAAAGCAGACAAAGTCTTTCTAATTTACCAGGCAGCACTGAACAGCTGATAAGAATGTTCATATGTGTAGTATAAAATTACATTTTGTACATTCATCTAGCTCAGGTATTGAGCAATCAAAATTGCAACATTATTAATTTTATTTATCAGACTTAAAGTGCCGTAAAGTTGTGAAGACTGCATGATCTGCTGTATTTTGTTGCTATGAAATGTTAAAACTTAATCTACTGTGGTAGAGTGAAAAAACAAATTGTAAGTATCTGAAAATGAATGTCTTCAATTCATTCAGTGTCGTGGTGCATTTAATTTGTAGATTTGTGTAATTTTCAGAAGTGTCACTAATCAAGAAAATATGCTTGCTAAATCATAATAACACAAACTGTGGGAATTTAGAACTATTATTTGTGCTATCCCAGCTCTGTGGTAAAAATGGATTCTTCTTTTAAGCTGCTATGTGAAACTAATAAGCAAAAATTGCAATCTAAATGTTATTGAGTATTATTTTAAATGGAATGATCTTATTTCTCTTTGCTTGTTTGCTCAGAATATAGAATTGGAATCTGAAAAACCAAGACTCGATGAGCCTCATGAGGATGACTTACTGGAAGAAAGAAAAAACTTGAATGAAAAAGCATCTATCGTGGCACAGTGTTTAGAACACAAGGAGGATCAAGTGCGAAATCAAGCAAAAAAAAATCGGAGCCTGATCTGTGTTGAGGACATAGGCGTAGGTAGGACTGACCAACGCCAAAGACCCCATAAAGAAGCAAAGGCGCTAAAGAAAAATAAGAACAAAACAAACAAGACTACTTTGGATTTGGATAACAAATTGCCATCAAATGTGATTCAGGAATTAAATACAGTGCTGCAGAAAAACAGAGCACTTCATGATGAAACCTCCAGCTGATTTCTTAGGTTTTAAAAAATAATTTTATATATATATTTATATATACACACACAGGCAAAAAGTAGTCTTTTGCAATGTGTACAGTTTGTACAGTGCAGAGGAAGTATAATTTGTTTACATGTAGCTGTTGATTTTGTATATGCTTATGCCACGTTATATTATAATTTAAGGTTGAACTAAGAGAACTGATTGTGTAGAAGCCCTGAAATTTGGAAGTTTTTGCTGTTCTGTGCAATGGCAGCAGGGTTTTGTCCATCATTCTTTAAAGGAGATTTTAAGTTAGATATAAAAGACTTGTAAGCACTAGTAAAAGCTTTTGCTCTGTTTGTGTTCCATACCATCTTATTAGCACTGGAGAAATATTTTTGGAAGGAAGGAGGGAGAGAGACTGAAATTCATAGCATTGGTCTGCAACACTTCAATTGCCTAACACTATATAAAAATAAGTAGCTTATCTGCTTCGAAGAGTAATTTTTACTTGTAATTTGTCTGTATTTAGGAATAAAATGAGTGTCTTTTTCCATACAGTTGTCCTCTGACAGATTGGCCTGTGAAGAATCGAAAATGGGAGGGATGTAGTAGCTGAGACAATGTACTAGTTTTTCTTTCTCAGAATTGTGTCTATATGGTGTATATATGCTTATGGCATCTTAAATAATGAAAAAAATACTGAAGGGGGTAAAAATAAGTTTTCCAAGCAACTTCATTTAATTTAATGCATCTGTGCATTTGAAGGGTAGCATCATCTCTTTGCTCAACAGACTGAAGTAATTTTATAAGTAGGAACTGGGTAGCTGAGGGTCAGGAAGGCAGACTTTTCCATCAGTAGGTCAATGTTTGGATGTGGCTTCCTTGGTGCTAACAAAGTTGCTGCTCTCTGATGAATATTTAATAGTCACATGAGAAATAAATTTCCTCAGGAAAAATGGTCCCCACACAAATTCATCCATCAAAAGGGCACTAATTCACTTAGTTAAGAAGTGCCAGTTACTAAGTGTGTGAGGAGATTAACCTCTCCTTTTATCAATAAGGCAAGGTTGAACAATATGTTGCTCACAGGGACTATGAAATGCTTATGTCACTGCTCTGATTCTTTGGAGTGTAAAGAGAGGTCGCAAGGGCGAGACAACAGCCTTCGATTACCTCATGGTTGCGCTCTCCGGGTACGTAGGTGAGCAGTTCCAGCAAGCACGTGATGTGCTACCCTGCAGCTACTTGCTTGGGTTTTTAAGCTAAGAGTTCCTTAAATTTAAAGACGAGAATCTGTCACTTAAACAAAAACAAACAAAAAAAGGCTATGTGAGCAATGAAATTAAGCTTGGTTTACTTCGGTTGTTTTGTGAATCTCGCCTTTAGTTGTCCCATGCGATTTCCTCCTTCCTCTCTCGCAGCTTATCCCATTTTTTTTTTTTCACTTTATGCCATAACAGCGGGATAGGCGAAAGGCAGCGCTGTGCTGGGCTCTTCCCAAGCGAGGCGAGCGCGCTCTGGTTAGACAGCAGGACTGGCAGGACAGAGAGATACTGCTATTCATGCTTCTGCTGAGGAAATATGGCAGGGTGAGCTCAGTATCGGCTTTGTTTTGCCGCTGTTCCTTTTGCGGTCTGATTAGCTTCTCTGCTTTGCCGTTGATTTTCACTGACTGTTTAAGAGCTTACTAACACCTCTAGTCAGCTGTCAAATTTGACTGAAATTGTCCAAACCCGTTAGGGTAGAACAAAAAATTCATCTCGTTTCCTTGGAAATGATTTTAAATAGTCCTTAATATTTCAGAGGAAAAATTCAATTTAATCAATGTCAATGACATTTGATTTTATTAAGCGATATTTTTGAAAATGCTTTATATTGCCACTGAATTTCTTCCCATATAGAAGCAGTATTCTCACTCATCCCCGCTCCTGTTTCTGGTAGTCACAGATGCCGTAGCACTTCTCACATCAGTTACTTCCATTCTTGGTTGCACTGAGCAGCTTAATTGGGAAAAAGTTTGTTTGGTTGAAGAAATTGCACAGATTACTCAAATAATGTATCTGGCAACTTTGCTAGGATGTAGAGGGAAAGCGAGAGCAAAAGCAAAATCTTTACAGTGTTTCAGATTTATTCTTCTGGAATGTAGCACTGGCAAAGTAAGTTTAGTCTTTCACACTTTGCACTTGTCACATTTGACCAGTTGTGAAATCTGAAACAAGTCTGTACATTTTTATTTTCCCATTGCACTATTGATTATTTTGTTACTCTTAATTTGTAATTGAGCCTCTTCTAATCATTGAGGCCCTGGCTCAAGAAGGGATATAAGCCTGAATTTAAATTGTATTGACTGAAGCTAGCGCTTAATGTTAATAAGTGCATTCTTAAATGCTGGATTGAATCAGGGCCTAATGCCGTTGGGAGAAGTTGCTTTACTTCCTGTCTGAGGCTGGACCTGAATATACTGTTTACACTCACACATTTATTTGCAAATATTTTTTTTTTGTATTGAGTCATGGTTGCTGTATCTTTTTATTGGCTTGTTAAAAATGGCATTCACCTCACTGCTGAAAGCCTCCTGCATCATTTAAGCCCTACACAAATGGAATAAATGGAGCAATGGAAGGGTTTTGTGCATCGGAGTGAGTATGCCAATGTAGAAAATGTTTTGTGTATTTGTCCTGGACCTACGGGCTGCAAAAAAACTTATTCTATTTCAAAAGCAGATCACATATACAATATCTCTATGGCTGCTGTTAAAGGGCCCTAAAATCAAGGGGAAAAGATGTTTACTGAAACATGTTTAAATGATTACTTTTCAATTACAGTTACACTATCTTTAAAGCTGTTGAATCCTCAGTGCAAATACTGTGTTAACATTTTCTACATGCACTTGGTTTTGTATATGGATATGCATACACACATTATATATATTTGTGTGATATTCAGTTATGTGCAGGTACACAGAGATGCAGTGAATGATGACAGTGTTAACTTGCAGAAAGCTTCTATGGGAAATTTGAAATTTGTAATGAATCATTTTGAATAGGAATCAGAGATTTGCACCAATTACCTGATATATCATTGTTGCACTACACATTTCAGACTGATTTAAGACCTGAATATTAAACGTGTTGTTTGTTGCAGTACCTTAAAGGCTGCAGATTTTTTATTGGTCCTGTACCATGCTGTGGAATGGTAAAGGAAGTGTAATTTTCAGAGAATAAGTGGTAATTCTTTGAATAAATGCTATTACTCTAAACTAGAGGATGGCATTTCTTCAGAAAATAAGTCAATAAAAATGATTTAAAAAAGAAGGTTTCTTTCTTTATGTCTTTCTATGATAAAGCTATCAAATAGCTTGGAAAGTATTTATTTTCTCATCTGCAAAATGAAGTTAAATGAGGCATGGATATAGTTGTATGCATGGGCTGTGACAGTGGGAAGACTGGGATTAAAATCTCAGTAAATCTCAGGTCCATCATTACTCCTGCACTCATCATAGGTGTAAAGCTGACATGTAAAAATAACTTACACTAATTGTTTTAGCATAATATGTTTCCTGCATTTTTTTCACATTCCTGGGGATGGACCAGGGAATAACCTTTTATTAATTTGTGTTGGCCAGGAAAGCAAACCCCAAAAGCAAAGCCCAAAAGATCATCAATTTATTTTTTTTTTAAGTTGAGTCGAGTATCAACTACCATTTTGGAATCTTTCTTTGAACCAGATCTTGTTTCCAGATGTTATTTTGGGCCAATTCAAAAGAGCAGTTTGACTAGCACATTTGGTGCCTCAGCAGAGGCTGCTTCAACATGGAATTGCTTTGACCATCTGAGATCTGCAGAGTATTTGTGCTGAGCTTCTATTTTACTGTGTCACTCAGGATGAAATGTAATCTCTGCATTATAAGGCTTTGTGGATGGTATCCAAGAATCTGTCTAGTGTGGAAAATTTGTTTATATCCCCAAAGATTTCTTCTGTTCTTAGGGAGGTTTGGGCTGTATATTTGGTTTCTGTTTTTTCATTGTGAAGAACTCTGGGTTGTTGAGTTGGAGAAAAGCCTCTACACTCTGCTGAGCATGTTAGTGGTGCCTGTAGGAGCCAGAGGTTAAGGTGTCTCCTTAGCTGAGAGACTGTTAGGCGCCTGACCCTGTAATGTCACCCTTCTTATTTTTAAATCCTGTTTTCCTATGTGAACCGGCTCAGTGTAAGAGAATCGGCTATCACACTGTTTCTGGCATCTGAACTGGAACAACTTCAGTTATGCCTGAGTCCAAATAGAAACAGTATCAGAAAATGTAGAGTCAGGTTGCTGCTGTGAGTATTGCAGAGCCTAAGGAATATATTAGTTTTGAGCTACTTAGCCATAACTGGCGAATCTGCAGTTTCACTAAGTACCTGAATTGGGTATGTTTAAGGTAAAACAGAGCAGCATGATGGATGGAATTTATCCCAGGTTGAATTGTTTGAAAAAAGTATGAACTGACTTGCAAACCTCAGCCCATTGCAGCAAGATGGGCTAGGAAGATCCAGAACGCTTAGTTAGATATGGTCTCTACAGTATTCCTGCTTCCGACTAGTTAGAAATATTTAATACTCTCTGTGTTGTCACAAAATAAATATTTGCCAAACTCAGTGGTCTTTGAGGCTAAATAGTTCTCTGTAGAAAAGCTGGAAGCCCTGGAAAGCTTTCTTCAGATTTAGTATGAATCATAAGTGCTGTACACCTTTATTTGCAACTGCATTGTAAGTGGGATTCATCTGCTGCTGAATTATGGGGGAAAACAGAATCACCGAATAATTCAGGTTGGAAGGGACTTCAGGAGGTCATCTAGTCCAACCCACTTGCTCAAAGCAGGGTAATCTTGAGCACATTGCCCAGCACCATATCCAGTTGGGTTTTGAATATCTCCAAGGATGGGGAGTCCACAGCCTCTCTGGGCAACCTGTTCAGGTGTATGGCCACCCTCACAGCGAAGTGTTTTCTTATGTTCAGGTGCAATTTCCTGTGTTTCAGTTTGCACCCATTGCCTCTTGCCCTGTCACTGGACACAACTGAAAAGAGTCTAGCTCCCTTTTCCTTACTCCTTCCTATCAGATATTTAGATATGTTGATAACCCGCCCTGAACTTTCTCTTATTTGGGCTAAATAATTCCAGCTGTCTCAGTTTCTCCTCCTATGACAGATGCTCCACTCCTTTAATCATCTTTGCAGCCCTCTATTAGACTTACTTCAGTAAGTCATTGTTTCGCTTGTGCTGAGGACAGCACTCCAGAAGTAGCCTCACCAGGGGTGAGTGGTGGGGAAGGATCACATCCCTTGACCTGCTGTCAATTCTCTTCCTAATACAGCCCAGGATACCATTGGCCACCTTTATTGTGAGGGCATGTTGCTGGCTCATGTTCAACTTGGTGTCCATCAGCACCTCCAGGTCCTTTTCTGCAAAGCTGCTTTTCATCAGATCTGTCCCCAGCCTGTACTGGTGCATGACATTATTTCTCCCCGGAGGCAGGACTCTGCATTTCCTGTTGTTGAACTTCATGAGGTTCCTATTGGCCCATTTCTCCAGGCTGTTGAGGTCCTTCTGAGTGGAAGCGTGACTATCTAATGTATCAGCCACTCCTCTTGGTTTTGTAGTGTCTGCAACTTTCTGAGGCTGCATTCTCATCCAAGTCATTAATGAAGAGGTTAAACATTATCTATTATTGACCCTTAGAGTATATGACCACTGATTGGTCTCCAGCTGGACTTTCTGCCACTGATCACAACCCTTTGAGGCCACCAGTTCAGCCAGCGTTCACTGCACCTTACTGTCTGTTTGTCTAGCCTATACTTCATCAGCTTGTCTATGACGATGTTATAGGAGACAGCATCAAAGCCTTACTAAGGCTGAGATAAACATCACCGCTACTCTTCTCATCCACCAAGCCAGTCGTCTAATTGTAGAAGGCAATTGGGTTAGTCAAGCACGAATTTTCCTTTCATAAATCGGTGCTGATTACTCCCAATCAACTTCTTACCCTTTCTGCATCTGGAAGTGGTTTCCAGGATTAGGTGCTTCATCACCCTCCCAGGGATGGAAGTGAGGCTGACAGACCTGTATTCCCTGGATCCTCCTTCTAACCCTTCTTGAAGATAGGAGTGACATTTGCTTTCTTTGAGGCCTCGGGAACCTCTTGTGATTGCCATGACCTTTCAAAGACAATAAAGAGTGGCTTTGCAATGACATTAGCCAGCTCCCTCAGCATCCAAGTGTGCATCCCATCAGGTCTCATGAGAGATTTTTCCTGATAGGATATTTCTTTGAGAGTATGCTTTGCTGCTTGTGTTTCGCTAGAAAATCATGTCAAGCTGTAACAGTGAAGAGGAAGAAAGATGGATGCTAATGTCTCAACTGCAGTAGGCAATTTTATCTCCTTGCGTACCTATAATGTTGTGTTGCAGTTTAAGTGTCTGGTGGCGAGGGGGGGTTAGTACTTGCTTAGCCTACCTGACTTGACTTGGGCCCTTCATCCTTGTTCTGGCAATAACTTTTTTTTTTTATGTTAGACTTTCTGGCATAATCTTTAGCTTATTTTCCACATACACTCTCATTTTACTCATTGGCTTGGTGCCTTCCTGCTCTAATTCTTTGACTTATGACCCAAACTTTGGCCATGCTTTCTGTGTAGATTCTGTGACTTCTCCGGCTATTGTCTTTAGCTTGTTTTGCTGGTATGGATCATGGTCCTGTCCATTATATCAAGCTTGACTTAACTTTTTTTTTAAAGTCCTGGTAGAGGTCTTCTCACTATTTCCTTGTAAAGAAAAGGAGTTCACAGAACTGGCCAAGAGCAAGAGAAGTTTAAAAGTTGACAAATACATGGAACCTTAGATATGACAGACTTCTCAAAATACATAATAGTACATGTTGCAAAGCTCAGTAGCCCATCTCTCTATAAATGCCCCTGAAGTTGTTCTGCGTATTTGTTCTGCGTATCGTAGTCCTCGGTAACGTCGCAAATTTTAAAGCAGATGTACTCTGTTTGCTCTTTATTTTAGTTCAGTGCCTTAATAATCCTATAATATGTGTTGTGCCTGGTAATAAAAAATGCATTTTATTGCAAATTATACCTTTGGTTACATAATCAGTAAAGGTTTTTCTTTTAAAATTTAATTAGCATTGGTTTGTCCAGTACTGCAGACTACTTAGGAACTAATAGCTCAGAATAAATCGAGGTTTGCTCTACGTGTGAGTTTTATAACTTGTCATTTTCTTTCCTATCTACGTTTCCAGTATGTTCCATTTAGAAGCTAATAATGTGTTTGTATTTGACTAGCTTTCGTTTATATGTCTATTTAAATTACACCATGACTGAAATATATTTTCTTCTAATAGGCTTTAGTCATTAGTATTTATTTTTCTTATGTCTTATTAGTTTAAACCTGTGAGTGATGTCTTGCACTTTCAACTTTGTTTTCCATTTTTGGCTGTTTACTTGTTCAGGTTATATACTGGAATTGGTAAAGCTCTTTGGATTATAAATATCATAAATTGCATATAACACTGCCAAGGTCTTCCTAGACTTTTATAGATAGAATATACTTTCACTTGAGGTTCTTCACTGGTTTCCCTTCAAGTGGAGCCAGGATTTATGGGAGATTATTCAACTTCATTGTAGGTGAACATCAGCTCCAGAGTCTTTGTTAAATAGCTGAGTGAAAAACCAGTATGTTTTATCCATACACTGGAGACGGTTGGTTTAGTGCCCTTTCTATCTGTCACTTTTTGCTCTAGTACAGCACAGTTTAAATAGATAAAATTAATTTTGAAAATGTTAGTATAGGATCTTTTCTAAGACTTTTGTTAGTAGCGTACAGAAAATTAAATACAAAATATCTGTAAAATAGAAGGAAAAAAACTCTTAGCTTAAGTTGCTCAATACTCATTAAGGAGAAAAATAGAATTAAATTCAGATAATTCAGATTTATTATACCTTTTTTTTTTCCTTACAGCTTTAAAAGAAAGATTCTCACTAGCTTGAACTTTTTATGAATAGTCTAGATTAGTAACAGTTTCATTTAGACAGCTTATCTTCCAGGACCTTAATTTTGATGTAGAAAATTACCTGTCAAGATGAATCGAAATCTAAAATATTTTACAAAAAACTGTTTCTGAAAAAAACTGTTCTGTTTGCTTTCTTACGCAAGCTATCTGCATCATAGCAGCTTAACTTGTTTACATCTCTCTAAATAGTAGTTCTGGAATAAATACATATCCTGTAACAATAATTCATCTCTT